AAGGCATAAATCCATCTACCCTCAGTTACAGGTTAAATAACAGAGCAAACTGGGCTCCCTTGTTTTTTTTATGGAAACCAGGATAACTATTAATTGTAAACCACCCAGAAGAAGGATAAGGTCTCTCGGACTATCTTGCCCTAGACACATTCTCTACCGTGACGGTTACAGTACGTGACTCTACGACCCTGGTAGGTTACGGGACTTGTTTCAGGATCAAACTGCACTTTTCTTTTTGTTGCTCTTTTTGTTTGTTTGTTTTATTTTTTTATATCGAATGTCACGCTAAGTGCTTGTAGTGTTATCGGCATGTCTAATTCAAATTCTAACCAAATCTATTTGATTCAATTTGCACTAATTCACTAACAATTTCCACTAATTCACTGACAATTTGCACTAATTCACTAACAATTCCCACTAATTCACTGATAATTTGCACTAATTCACTAACAAATTGTGCACTAATTCACTAACAATTCCCACTAATTCACTAACAATTTGCACTAATTCACTGACAATTTGCACTAATTCACTAACAAATTGCGCACTAATTCACTAACAATTCCCACTAATTCACTGACAATTTGCACTAATTCACTAACAAATTGCGCACTAATTCACTAACAATTCCCACTAATTCACTAACAAATTGCGCACTAATTCACTAACAATTTGCACTAATTCACTAACAATTTCCACTAATTCACTAACAATTTGCACTAATTCAGCAACCAATTTGCACTAACGCCCTTGGAAAACCCATGAATCCGTATTACTTGAGCAATGGATTAAATAACAAGATAGACTGGAGTCTCTTTTATTTGATGACAGCTAGTCTGTATGTATGTAAGTATAGCCGGCCACTCGTATTCAAGGATACCCGTCTACTAGGGCGGCTAGCCACTACATATTACAGACGCTTGCTCAGGCGCATTTGTGTTTATTCAACACCCAGAAAAACACACCTGTCGTTTATACTGCAACTATGCTGAGCAGACCTTAGTTACAGTTTCTGGGAAAGATCGAATTATCTAGCGTGACCAACAATTTGAACAAAGCCAGCACGCTCAAGCCACGATGTCTTGTGACTACGTGCTAGCACATCTAAGGGTTCCGTTTACCCAATTTTCACTCACAAGATTCGGGTCAAAAGTGACCCACGCCTGGATCGACCACTCCAGTCCGCTAACATCAGGAAGTTTCCTTCCTGATAACACGAACATGGTGAGATTCGAACCCGGGTCTCATGCTCAGAATGCGAAAGTTCAAACCACTCGGCTACGTGCCCATTCAGCAGCCAGTCTAGGAGAACGAAAACCCCGAATTCAAAACAGTCGTAAATGATAACATCGTTCTTTAGATTTGACAAGGACAACCAGTCGTGGAGAGGGGCAGTTCTGAATTCAAAACAGTCGTAAATGATTACATAATCTGGGCTCTTTAGATTTGACAAGGACAACCAGTCACGGAGATGAGCAGTTCTGAATTCAAAACCAACTTGAAGATAAATGGGCTATATCAGGCTAGCTTGCCATAGACACGCGCCTTCTTTTATGGCTGCAGTAATTGTGGTGCCTCTACAACCCTAATAGGTGACAGCACTTGTGAACCTGTGTATCAATTCATCTGTGTGTGTATACACTTAATCGAATGAATGTGTATTTATCTATCAATACATGTTTGTGCTTGTTTATGCGCGCACGTGTTTGTGTGTGTGTGTGTGCGTGTGATTACGTATGCTACAACATGTATTCAGATGTCCTCCTTTCATTTCATCCACAAGCCGTCAACCCGACAAACACCGAGTAAAAACTATTCATTTCCCAGCCCCCGCGAGACTAGCCAAAAAAAGAATCAATCTTTATTTCACGTCAAGGAATTTGCCAATATTCTATTAGAAAAGAATATGACAAAACAAAATGGAGAGAATTGCCAGATCTTGGTTGTTAGAAGACAGTAATTCTTCAATGCTGAATGCTTTGACTCTACTGGGTGCATTCGTTCAATGCGCACAAATGCAATATTAATACACTGCGCATATGTGAAAAATCTTACTCGATCGTAATGAGGCTTTGCGCTACACAATGACGCCACGTACGTACAAAAAAGAATGCACAAGAATATATTTATTCAGAGGATTTTTATTTTAATGTAAATAATTACTGCATATTTTCCAAAAGTGATATTACGAGAACTGAAATAGGAAAGTTTTGATCGACACTTACATTTAAAACTGGATATGTTCCAAATATATTTTGATATTTCATGAGACTAGTAATTTTTTTCTTTTTTGTTTACTAAGATTCACCCAATGCAAGGGTCAAGAGCCACACATAGCAGAGGATTAGTGGATTAGTTGAGAGATATGTATATAAGATATATACATACAAAAGGACGTAGAAAGAAGTTAAAACTATGAGGATAAGGGAGATGGAAAGGAATTGACCTTTGACTTGAAGAGGTTAAGATGGTAGTGTTCCGGGAAAAATCCACGCGGGAATTTGTTGCACAAGGTAGCAAATCTTCGGAAAAAGCTACCTTAGTGGAACTTCTTCCTTGCAAAAGAAATAGTTTGGATGTTAATTTTGCCATTGAGGAGAAGGAAAATCAAATATATCCACATTTCTTAATAAAGAAAACTCTTTAAAATTTAATTAAATGAAGAATATTTTTTTTAAAAATGGCTCAAATTGACATCATCTGCTTACACACAAAAAAGTATCATTTGCCTAGTCTGTTGTAAAACTAGCATAGTGATGCATCTTGGGAGAATCAAGCTCTATGGTTGGTGCGCCAAGCATCTAAATATGGTTGAGACATCATTTCACCCCCAAGAAAAGCGATAAAGTCACAGACGCAAGGAGTTACTGAGGATAAAAAACAATACAGTGAAGGAAACAGAAAAAGTTACCGATGAGAAAGGACGATAGAAAGAACAAGATTCAAAGAGACAGAATGATGATAACTGATGATTTTGTTGTGGAGTAGCTGAACACCCCCACAAGATGAACTGGTTTAAGACTATTTAAACTGCACTCTCTCTTACTGAGGGATATTAGTTAACGATTATAGTTAACTCGCTTGTCGACTCTCTGCCAAAGAGTAGAGTCTCGTCTGCGGGGGTAGACAAACCCGACCCCGTTATTACGGAGTCTACGGGGAATTTTTGCCCGGGCCCACGGGCTCGGAAAAACACGTTAAACCCGTTTTGTGCCATTTCCCGCTCTGTGGGGAAGTCGGGTAAATACCGAGTAGTTAACGATTACAGTTAACTCTGCTTGTCGACTCTCTGCCTTCGGGCAGAGAGGAACCTAGACGCGGCTATTTCTACGGGCAGAGTCTCTTAGGTAGACAGCCGCCCGATCATGTGTATCCGGGGACTACGGGGAATTTTTACCCGTGCGTACGCGCTCGAAAAGTCTTACGTTAAAAACCGGCCTTATGCCACATCCCGCTTTGTGGGGAGGTATCGGGTAAATACCGTGGAGATAACGATTAACTTTTAATTACATTAGTCTGTGTTCTCAACCGTGTACCATATTATTCTCCGGAATAAACTACTTATTTTCTATATGTGAGTCAACCTTTCTAATTTACGACACAACACATTTAAATTTTTGTAGATTGTAGTTGACAAGAAAGCAAAAAACTGGAAGAGATTTCCACAGGCGAGAAGTGCAAGAGAAGAAACTCTTAGAATAGAACTTACGTCAATTATGGTGCTCTTGTTGAATGACTGAAACTCCATGGAATACAATGTCTGCGTGTGTGTGTTCTTTTAATTATTTCATCCCAAACAAGGCAAAAAAGTCTCTTTATCTGGGAGGGGGTATTACTGATACTATTTTGTTTAGTTTCTTGTATATAAAATTGTAATCATTGTAAATATTCATTGGGGTTTCATTTTTAAAAGTTGTTATTTTTATCCCCTCTCCCTCCAGACAAATTGTACATATGGGGACTAGTTAGGACTTCATAGAGACTTTGAGGTATTATGTTGACTGTAGTAAGAATGGCAAGTAAGAATGTGGTGTTTTGGTGTAAGGAATACTGTGGTATGTTTGGGTGACTAAGTTTAAGATAAGACCGATTGAAAATCAACCTTCCCATATCCGTCCTTTTAGCCATGGGTCACATTTTTGTATTTTCAAAATAAATATTATTTTCCTCTATGATTCCTAGATTTTATGAATTTAAGCGCAGTACTAGATTGGCGGCAAGGTCCCATCATTTTACATTTATGCTAACAGTTTCTTCTATCGCACTTCTCGCTTGTGAAACACTTTTCCCGCTTCTTGCTTTACAGACAAATTAGATCTTAAAAAATGTAAATATAATATTAATCGTTAACTACTCTCTTCGTAATTCTTGTTCTTTTATTGTTCTCTCTCCTTAATAGTGTTTTTTCGCATATTCTGTAAACTCCATAAACCCTTACTTCTTAGTGACTTTATTAGCTTGCCTGGGGTGAAATGATTCAAAAACAAAACAAAACAAGAATATTCCTGTTGTAGTTGCGTACAAAAAAGAACCCATTACGACTACGTCATAAAAAAGAACCGAAAAAATATTATCATTTTTTGTAGTAAAAATCATTAAAAGAAATACTGTATCATGAATGCACTGGAAGGTTGTGAAGACGACATCATCTTTGAGAAAGAAAGTCAAGATGACATCAAAGATGACGAAGAAATCTGATGACAATCATAATGAGACTGTCTCAGTGTCACTGCTTGACGTGGACAGCATGAAGCAGATGAATATATGCTTAATATCCATGTGAATATTTTTTAAAAAATGGAGTGTTTGGTTTTTGATTTAAGCTTTTTGTTACATATTTGCACCATAGCTATAACATAATTTCGACTATATCGCCCCGAATATGGTGACGCGCATGGCCCTAAAAAAGTTAATGTTCAGTTCTCGTGGATAATATACAAACTAAATTCTAACTTTAAAAATCTGCAGGGACAGTACTTATTATACACGAATAAATTTAG